AATAATTCATTTAATCCATTTAATAGGGATGCGGGATACTGGATAGACGAACATAAAATACTAAGCTTTGTACACAATCAACATTGTTTTCTAAATACTCCTTGATTTGCTGCAACAGCTTTAGTAAGAGCCGTGATGGTTCAAATATTGATCAAACAGTTAAAATAGTAAATATAACAGGTTTTTAGGTTTTCACTATTGATATACATTGAAAATGAACTAATCTTTTAACCGACTTTGAAATAAGGAGAAGGTGCTCAATTCGACAGTATGTATGTTACGCGATTAAAACGGCATTTGTGAATAGATTTCGATGAAATAAGGAAAGAAAGATCTTAGGTCGTTTGTGGAAAGCACCCAATCTCTACTCCATGTGGCTGAATAATATTAAAAAATCCTTAACATGTTCATCGCCGGCTAAATTTTCAAAAATGTTCAAAAAATTTGCGTTGGCTTATATGATTTTTTGGTCTCATTTGTTTTTTCGCGAAATTTCATTATTTGGCTCCATTTTGGATATCTTTTGTGCCGGGCAATTAAATCAGGCGCGGAGCGGCCTAGTTGGAGTATTTATTACGTTTAGACCGCGCCGGTCACAATGCCAGGCAGAGCACGTATACCTAAACGTTTACCTAAAACGTCTGTTGATTTAAATTTACCTTGTTGAATGTTTATCTCAGTTTGTAACTCTTAAATTTATTTTGAAATTAAATTCAAAATCTTATTTTTTCTTTTAAGTCTAGAAAAGTAGTTAGGATGTCATCAAAAATCCTAAACACCAAGTGGCGAAAGAATTTCATTAGGGCCGCGCCGATCATGTAATATGGATAAAAACGTAGCGTTTATCACCTGCAGCGTGAACAAGCATCGCAAAATTTGATGTAACATACTGATCATTTGGACCCCTATAGGTAGATGAGATGCCGGTTATTTTGACTCACCACGGCTATGTACATATTATTGATTTCCGAAGATTGAACATATTACTGAAGATAGAAAAAGGAAATCCACAAATGGTTAAGCGATAAGCGGTAAGCTTTTCTATCTCTTTTCTTAGTATAAATTAAGACACATTAAAGGGTTTTCTATCAAGGGCGGGTAGATATTGACAATTCATAGCGGCCATGTTGTTGACACAGCTTTTGTCAGCGTCAACAACATGACCGTATCATCATGGCAAGTTACAGCGTCGAGCAACACGTGCAAATGATAAAAATTTATTATCCAAATGGGTGTTCTATTGTGGCAACGATGCGTACGTAATAGACTGCCTCGGTTTCTCCTGAACACTCTCGCGAATAACGGCGATATTTTCGGCAGATCTTGCGTCTCGTTGACGCACGGGTGTTGGCTGATTGTTCACTGAACCAGTCGACTTCAATTTGGCCATCAAACGTTGAATAGTCGACTGGGAAGGATGATCACGTAAGCCATAGAATGGGTGCAACGCGGTGTCGTTGCCACAATAGAATACTCATTTTGATAATAAATTTTTAGCGTCGAGCAACACAAGCAAATCGTGACGCTCGACGCTGTAACTTGCCATGACAATTTAGTTTTAGTGACTGAAAAATAAACAATAGATTTGACAAAAGCAGCCCCAACAACAGTGCCGCTATAAACTATCAAAATCTACTCGCTCTTATTGGCTTTGTTGTATGATCAGATATAATATTTATCCCATTATTGTTTAGTTTCATAAATATATATCTATAAGTAAAAATAAGTCATCATCACAGACGTTGCACCGATCCCAAAGTAAGTAACTAAAACACAGTATTACAGTTCAGTATAACAATGCGTTCAGGATGCTGTTCCAACTGCCACGTTTCTGTAGCGCATCAACCATGTTCGCTGATAAACGTGTAGACGATTTTTACGCTATCATACGAAAGCGAAGTGCGTCGCTACTCGGTCGCATGCGTGGCAGCACAAACAGCATCCTGAACACATTGACAGATAGGTGGGAGTCCCCAATGTTGTGGCGGTGGATGCGTTTGCACACCGCTAGCTATTCACTGCTCTAACATTGGCTGGGCAGTTATCCTCCGGCATATTAAACAAATTATTATTTAATTATTATTAGTATTGTCTTTATTTTTATTTTTATGTTTAAACTAACACTAGCTTAAGTACTTTTTATTAACAAATATTATGGATCACGTTGTCTGAGAATAAAATTATTACTATTATTATTATTATTATGGAAATCGAAAATAACGACAGTATAATAAACACCTAGACTCGAGACAATATACAAAACTTAGTTTTTCTACATTGACCGGCCAGAGATCGAAACCAGGACCTCAGAAATGGCAAGACCATGAAAACCGATGCAAGCTATTCGACCACAGAGATGGTCAAAGATCTCTATTTTTTTTATATTAAGACCTTAATATTATTATTATTAAATAAGTAGTAAATGATAAATGTGCACAAATGTTTGTTTATAAAAAAAACTTTCTTACTCATTCTTTTAAGGAGATTATGAATGAATGAAAGTAGAGTTTAGTCAATGTGAAGATTTCAAGTGTAATTTGCTTACTATGAAAGATATATCGAGCTTGAGTTTATGAGTACCAGAATAACTAAAATTAATTCCGAGGAATTCACCATCCAGAATAGCTACGGAGTGGAATTCCTGGCCTGCAGCCTTATTCCTTGAACTTTATAACTTGAACCGGAATGCCTATTCACTTTCGCCTTGAAAACGAAGCGGAAGATTAGGCATTATTTAGGTGTGCATGCTCCATCGTCGACCTCATCGTCACTTCCATCAGGTGCCATGGAGGATAAATGCGTAATTACATTTTTATAAAAAGAAGGAAATCAGAGACAAAGACAAGATGGTTACGATCAATTTAGAAAA